CGGTTCTCTTACTAAAACTTACAAAAAAACTAGGCCGGGCGGGTGGGCGGGCCGGGTCTGTAGTCCCAGTACTCGGGGAGGGCTGAGGGCAGGGGAAGAGATGTTGTGAAACCCAGATGGCGACTTGCAGTGAGCTGATGATTCGGCCAACTGCACTCCAGCCCTGGGTGGAACAGAGCCGAGCACTCCGTCTCAAAAAAAAAAAAAAAAAAAGAAAATGCAACCCAATGTCAACCAAATTACTGGGGAATTAGCCCTACAACAGTACTCTTCCTTTAGCCAGCTACTCAAGAGTTGATTCTGCTTCTAAAATCTAGGCGCAGAAGTAAAGCTTCATCTTCCCCCATAAGATTGCCCTTCCAAAGAGTGGAACAACTACCTGTGAGAAGCCTGTGATCACATACCTGAGTCCTCCTCCTTATCCTGACTTCAATTTTAGGGTACCTCTTTGCTTGATGAGTCTTCAAGGTTTACATCTTAGAAGGTTAAGAATGGACCTAAGAAGAGGAGGCAGAGGGAAGAGAAGCCTCGTTTTCAGGAGCCTGGGCTGCTGCAGATTCGTGAGGCCTGGCTCCAGATCCAGCAGGTGAGGCTCTGTATCCTGCAGGCGGGCCTTCATTTCCTGCAGGTGGGGCTTCATAGCCAAGAGGTGGAGCTCCATATCCTGCAGGTGAGGCTCTGTATCCCACAGGCAGGCCTTCATTTCCTGCAGGTTGGGCTCCATATCCTGCAGGTGGGGCCCCGTATCCGGGAGGTGGAGCTCCATATCCTGCAGGTGAGGCTCTGTATCCCACAGGCAGGCCTTCATTTCCTGCAGGTTGGGCTCCATATCCTGCAGGTGGGGCTCCATATCCGGGAGGTGGGGCTCCATATCCTGCAGGTGGGGCTCCATAGGCAATAACTGGGAATTATAATGAGAAGGAAAAAAATTCAGTTACCTTGAAGTCAAGGAATATGTGAGAAGGAAGAACTTAAAAAATAATGCTGAAGCAAACTGACGCAAGAGGAGAAGTCAGGCAGAATAATGCTAAAGCGATTTCCTCCAGCTATCGCCAATTGAAGGCATATCACTTCCTGTTGTGCAGGGATTCAAATCAACATGAAAACAACCCTATGAATAGATTGGTGCATTACTTATACTTGTGCACAGACATGTGTTTTACTTAATAAAGTTTGATGATGAAAAAAAGTAATACATGCTTAATGAGGACTATCCGTTTGGAAAATAGAAGAGGAGTGGAAAAAAGTCATCTATAATTCTACCACCAAAAACTTAATATTTTGGTGTATTTCTTTGTAGAATCTCTGTGAATATTCTTTATATAATCATGATCATATCAGCCATATTATTTTTATTTATTTTTATTTTTTTGAGACGGAGTCTCGCTCTGTCACCCAGGCTGGAGTGCAGTGGCGCGACCTTGGCTCACTGCAAGCTTCACCTCCCAGGTTCATGCCATTTCTCCTGTCTCAGCCTCCCAAGTAGCTAGAACTACAGACGCCCGCCACCATGCCCAGCTAAATTTTTTTGTATTTTTAGTAGAGATGGGGTTTCACCATGTTAGCCAGGATGGTCTCAATCTCCTGACCTCGTGATCCGCCCGCCTCGGCCTCCCAAAGTGCTGGGATTACAGGCCAGTCACATGATTTTTAAAATCTGGCTCTTTTACTTAATATTATAAGAAATGTCTTTATACTGTTAATTTACTTCATAAATTCAAAGCTGGATAATATTTCATCATATAGATAGATGATACTTTTTGTTGTTTCTGACTTTCCAATTAACCTTACAATAAACATGAGTTTTACTTACTACCTTGGGTTACATTCCCCAAAGTGATTTAACTGGATAAAGTGAATGGACAGCTGTAAAGTTATTTTGCTTTAATCCAAAATTTATTACAAAACTATTGTAATCAAGACAGTGTGTTACTGGCACGAGGACAGACTTAGAGACCAATGGAATAAATTAAGAGTCCAGAAATAAACCCAAGCATCTATGAACAGCTGATTTTTGACAGAATGCCAAGACCATTCAATGAGAAAAAAATAAGTGTCTTCAAAAAATGATTCTGGGACAACTGGATATCTGCATGTAAAAGAATGAGGTTCCTCCCTAACTTCACTCTACAGACAAAAACTAACTTGTAATGAATTAATGGCCTTAATATAAGACAGAGGTGGCCAATCTTTTGGCTTCCCTGGGCCACATTGATGGAAGAATTGTCTTGGGCCACATATAAAATATACTAGTACTAACGATAGCTGATGAGCTATTTAAAAAAATCTCGTAACGTTTTACGAAAGTTTATTAATTTGTGTTGGGCTGCATTCAAAGCCATCCTGGGCCATGGGTTGGACAAGCTTGATATAAGAGCTAAAACTATAAAATCCTTAGAAGAAAACAGGGATTAAATCTTCATGACATTGGATTTGGCAATGAATTCTTAAATTTTACATCAAAAGCATGAGCAACAAGAGAAAAAAAGAGAAATTTGATAAAAATTTAAAACCTTTGTGCATTAAAAGCCATTTTTGCCTGGGCACAGTGGTTCACACCTGTAACCCACTGGCCGAGGCAGGCAGATCATTTGAGCTCAGGAGTTCTAGATGAGCCTGAACAACATGGTGAAACTCCATCTCTACTAAAAATACAAAGATTAGCTGTGCATGGTGGCGCACACCTGCAGTCCCAGCTATTCAGGAGGCTGAGGCACAGGAATCACTTAAACCCGGGAGGCAGAGGTTGCAGTGAGCCAAGATGGTGCCACTGCACTCCAACCTGGGTGACAGAGGAAGACTCTGTCTCAAAAAAAAAAAAAAAAAAAAAAAGGCATTATCAAGAATGTGAAAGAAAACCTAAAAATATTTGCAAATAATATATCTGACAAGGATTTCATATCCAGACTATATAAAGAATGCTTACAACTCAACAACAAAAAGACAAGCAATCCGATTTAAATAAAAAAAAAAAAATACGCAAAAGACTTGAACAGACAGTTCTCCAATGAAGGTATACAAAAAGCCAAAAAGCACATAAAAAGATGTTCAACATAATTAGTCATTAAGGAAGTGCAAATTAAAACCACAATGAGATACCACTTCATACCCACTAGGACGGCTTTAATATATATATATTTTTTTTTTTTTTTTGAAAAAGGAAGGTAAGTGTTGCTGAGGATGTGTAGAAATAGGAACACTTACATTTACATAGGAATGTAAAATAGTGCAGCATTGGAAAATAGTTGGTGGTTCCTCAAAAAGTTAGAGAATTAACATAATGACCCAGAAATTCCACTCCAAGATGTATATCCAGGAGAAATGAAAACATATGTTTACGTAGAAACTTATATACAAATGCTTATAGCAGCTATTATTCATAATAACCAAAAGGTAGAAACAAGACAAATGTCCATTAATGGATGAATGAATACACAAATTGTGGCATATATGTACAATGGAATATTATTCAGCCACGAAAAGAAATGAAGTATTGCTACATGCTACAACTTGGAGGAACCTCAAAAACATTATCCAGAGTGAGATAAGTCAAACACAAAAGATCATATATTGTATGATTTCTTTTATGTGATATATTCAGAATAGGTGAATCAATAAAGACAGAAAGCAGATTAGAGAATACCAGGAGATCAGGGAGGAGACAATGGGGGAGTAACTTCTTAATGGGTATGGGGTGATAAAACGTTCTGAAACTGGACCAGGTGCTGTGGCCTACACCTGTGATCCCAGCACTTTGGGAAGCCAAGGCAGTAGACTTGCTTGAGCCCAGGAGTGTGAGACCAGCCTGAGCAACACAGTGAGACCTTGTCTCTACAAAAAAAATTTTTTTAAAAGGCTGGCAGGGATGGCTCATGCCTGTAATCCCAGCACCTCAGGAGGCCAAGGTGAGTGGATGGCTTGAGCCCAGGAGTTCCAGACCAGCCTGGGCAACATAGGGAGATTCCCATCTCTACAAAAACACATAAAAATTAGCTGAGCACGGTGGATTGCGCCTGTGGTCCTAGCCTACTCTGGCTGGGGGGCACTGAGGTAAGAGGATCGCTTGAGCCCAGGAGGTCGAGGCTGCAAGGGGCCATGATAGTACCACTGCACTACAGCCTGGGTGACAAAGCGAGACCCTCTCAAAAAAAAAAAAAAAAAACACCACCTTTTGAAACTAGAGAGAGCTGATGGATGTATAATATTGTGAATACATCAAATACTGCTAAATTTTACACTAAATACCACTGAATTGTACACATTAACATGTTAATTATATGTTATGTGAATTTCACCTCAATTGAAAAAATGTTAAACCCTAGCAACACTTACTTTAGATTCTGAATATTAGATTGTAATAACCTTTAAAAACCAAGGTAACTATTAAGGTTATAAATAAGTAGCCTTTAAGTTACATACAAAACTAAAGGCCCATGGACATGCATATCAAGTTCTAAGGAGAACTCAAGAAAAGTCCCGTATTTTGGGGGGGGTTGGCAGCATTAGGAGACCCTTGGTGGCCCACCAGTAGGCAGTGGACCATGTTTGAGAGTTACTTCCCAGAAACCCCATTCAGTCGCAGTGGACTTTAACAGCACAACTGTTAAAGGGTCCAGGGCTTGAGTCCTCAGTGAGGTTGAAGGGTGTGGCACAGGTATGATGACTGTGCTACGTGAAATGGAAACAAGGAAGTGGGCAAGAGCATATATTTTCTGCTCAGGCTATAAACAGGAAGTGACCCTTCCCACTAACAGGCGTTGCCCAAGTATGTTCCAGGTTTGTACATATCATTAAAACCAAAGCCCAGTCACTTGCTGACTTTGCCACTGGGTTTCAGTCTGAAAACAAAGTCACAGACGTAACCATTTTCCAAGCCCCTAATCCTCTGCTGCTGCTCCTCCTGCAGGAGAGCTGGAGGCAAGCCTGCAATAGACAGATCTTTGAGCCTCCGGCATAATTTTCCACCTTCCAGGAAGAACCTCTCTGCCATACCTTACCTGAACAAGGCATCTGTGGAGTGCATATATTCCCTTCCCCAGTAATTACATAAATTCTCATAGAGCTGAACCAGTCATTTAAGGTTCTAAGTGGAAATCCTCGGGCAGCTGGAAAGACAAATTTGGCAAAATAGGAACTCTTTTAATTAAGTCAGAAGTATAGCAGATATCAACTGAACAATAACAGAGTATTTAATCACCACCTTACATGTGTTTCCAACAATGTTCTTGAGATACAAGATAAAAAAGAAACATGGGCTGAGTACAGAGGCTCACACCTGTAATCCCAACACTTCAGGAGGCCAAGATGGGAGGATTGCTTGACCCCAGGAGTTCAAGACCAGCCTGGGAAACATGGCAAGACCCTATCTCTACAAAAATTTATTTAAAAATTAGCCAGGCATGCTGGTACATACCTGTCATCCCAGCTACTCACGAAGCTGAGGCAGGAGGATTGCTTGAGCCTGGAAGTTTGAGGCTGCAGTGAGCCTTATTTGTGCCACTGCACTGGAGCCTCCAGCCTGGGTGACAGAGTAAGACCTTGTCTCAAAAAAAAAAAAAAAAAAAAAGAACTATGACCCTTGTCCTGAATGGCATGCTTCTTAAGAGCAGAGATTGTGTCTCATTTGCCTGTGCTTATTCCAGGCCTAGCATAGCACCTAATCATAATAGATACTCAGAAAAAACTTCTAAGTGAGGATTCTACCAAGTTGGTAAGATATATCCATTAAAGACCAATGTAAGGCAGTGTGGTACAGAACACTTTTGTCTTGTCTCCCCTCTGCATGTCTCTCATAAGAACACTTGTGACGGCATTTAGGGGCCACCTAAATAATCTACAGAAATCTTGTCATCTCAAGATCCTTAAATTAATTACATCTACAAACACCCTTTTTACAAACAAGGTAACATTCACAGGTTCTGAGGATTGGGATGGGGATATATCTGTGGATCCATTAGCAGCCTATCACACTGAGTTCTGCCTATGGCATGTGACCAGACGTAATGTACAGTTTCCAGACCCGGCCCATAAAAATTTCCCAGGGGAGATCTTTATTCCCTTCTCTGTTGGCTGTACAAAGAGGCCATGGGAGCCATGGGTTAAAGATCGCAAGGACCAGCCAGGCGTGCTGGCTCACACCTGTGATTCTAGCACTCTAGGAGGCTGAGGTGGGTGTATCGCCTGAGGTCAGGAGTTCGAGACCAGCCTGACCAACATGGTGAAACCCTGTCTCTACTAAAAATACAAAAAATAGCTGGGTGTGGTGGCAGATGCCTGTAATCCCAGCTACTTGGAAGGCTGAGGCAGCAGAATCGCTTGAACCCGGGAGGTGGAGGTTGCAGTGAGCCGAGATCACACCATTGCACTTCAGCCTGGGCAATAAGAGTGAAACTCTGTCTCAAAAGAAAAAAAAAAAAAAAAAGATAGCAAGGACCCTATTACCCTGGATCATCCCTGAATAACTATGTGGAACAGAGCCTCCTCTTGCCCCTGCTGATTGGTCTTTATATAAGCAGTAATATCTACTGTCTTAAGCATTGATAATTTGGAGTTTATCTGTTTCAGCGGCTAGAATTATTCTAATTCACTATAAATCTAAAGTTGCCCTTCTTCCCTTATCACCCTCCTTGAGGACCCTCTGTGTCCTTTATAGTAATTCCAACAGTAAGTATTTTATTCACTTACAAGTTTGCTTTTTATATGACTCTAACTAGACAATAAGTTTATAAAGACTACGTGTGTCTTATTCACTGCTGTGTTCCTAGCTGTCTCACAATTGGGAATTTGGTTCACAATAGGTACTCAACATACATGTGTTAAAAACATAAATCAAGAGCCCTGACATATCAACTCTGCGAGGGAAAGGGAATCTTTCCTGGTCAAAGAATCAGATCATAAAGCATGATTAATAGTTAACTCCAAGGGCCTCAAGGACATTTATCTCACAAGCCCTGGCTCTTGTGGGGGCAGGTGGGGGTGGGGAGGAAGTTCCCCACATCTAAGCCATGATATAATCAGAAGACCCAGTCCGGGCATGGTGGCTCATGCCTGTAATCCCAGCACTTTGGGAGGCTGAGGCGGGTGGATCACGAAGTCAGGAGTTCAAGACCAGCCTAACCAATATAGTGAAACCCTGTCTCTACTAAAACTACAAAAATTAGGCAGGCATGGTGGTGTGTGCCTGTAGTCCCAGCTACTCGGGAGGCTGAGGCAGGAGAATGGCTTCAACCCAGGAGGCAGAGGTTGCAGTGAGCCAAGATCGCCCCACTGCACTCCAGCCTGGGTGACAGAGCAAGACTCTTATCTCAAAAAAAAAAAAAAAAAAGAAAGAAAAAAGACCCAGAGCAGTTCCAGACATTGGGCAAGTTCACGTAAGTTGCCTAAACCCTTTTCAAGTGGCTATGCAACTGCTGAGACGCTGAACCTTCTTGGCTAGCTTTGTGGGCCAAGAAGTAGATCTTAATGAGAGTACAGAGAACCTCAAAAGTTGCCTGACCCTTAGCCCATAATCCTAAAAAAGAAGCCCTCTTCAATACTATGAGGCCAAAAGTAAGAGTGAATTCAACACTCAGTATGCAATTGTCCTGAGTTCCCCAGATGTCTGTAGCAAAGAAGTACTAGACTTCCAAGTGTCCCGTCTCTGGATTTCCCACTGTCTCTGGATTTCCCACAGCTATACTCGTCTGTCTGCCAGGATAACCTGCAATCCAGTTTCAGGCTTCCAGATGCTGTCTGCACTCTGGACTACCAAACAGCTGTGGGTTAGGTACACCTTGTGAACTTCTTGGCCTCCTTATCTTTGCACTGTATCATCAAAGGTAACTAAAAATTTTTCTTACTTCTTAACCTCCCAGAATATGGCTCTTCCACTACCTCTCTTCTCCAGCATTTCACTGAAATCTCACTTGCTACCATCAACAAACTCTAATTACCACATGCAATGCACACTTTTCAGTCCTCATTTTACTAAACATCTCTAGAGCAGCTGATATGGATGACCATCCCGTGTCTCATAACTTTCTCCTCCATTGACTTTTGGTATATTAAACTCACTTGATTCTCCTCATTTATCACAGTCAGCCCCTTCTCAATCTTTGCAGATTGCTAATTCCCTTCCCTTCTCTTAAATGTTAAGAACCATTGGAACTCTATCCTCAAATCACTGAGGAAGCCCATCACTCACATGGCACCAGAGACAACCTGTGTGCTGAAGATTTCCAAATCAGTCTCTAGACACAGCTCATCTTTGGAGCTCCAAGCTGCATGTCAAGTGGCCTCCTAATGTAACTCACACTTAATATGGTGTAGGGGTCAAGAGTATAGGCTCAAAAAGACACAACGTCACTTATGTAGTATTCCTGCCAAAATGTATGACCTGAATATAATCATGAAGAAATAGACAAACTCAAATTAAGGGATATTCCACAAAACAATAAGTCTGTATTCTTTTAAAAACGTCAATGTTGGTCGGGCACAGTGGCTCACACCTGTAATCCCAGCACTTTGGGAGGCCAAGGCGGGCAGATTACGAGGTCAGGAGATCAAGACCATCCTGGCCAACGTGATGAAACCCCATCTCTACTAAAAATACAAAAATCAGCCAGGCGTGCTGGCGTGCGCCTGTAGTCCCAGTTACTTAGGAGGCTGAGACAGGAGAATCGCTCGAACCCGGGAGATGGAGGTTGCAGTGAGCCGAGATCGTGCCACTGCACTCCAGCCTGGGCGACAGAGCAAGACTCTGTTTCAAAAAAAAAAAAAAAAAGAAAAGAAAAAATCAATGTCATGAAAGACAAAGAAAGGCTGAGTTCCAGATTAAAGCACATAAAAGAAATAGGACAACTAAATTCAGTGTGTGATCCAGAATAAGATCCTGGATTGGGGAAAAAAGTGCTATTAGAATGAGGAACAGTAACAGGACAATCATTTGAATTTGAATATAAACTATATATATACACACATACATA